GAAATACCCAGACCTCTATCCCCAAGATGAAGGGGAGGAAAAGGAGGGAAAGCCAGCAGAACAGGCAGAAGAGCTGCTACTAAGACCTCTGCAGCCAAAGAGCAGGGGTCAAGCTCACATCTGTGAAAGCTCTTTCCCTCTGTGTACTGTAATGCACAAAAGAACTTATTTTACTGATCAGAGGTCTTGGCTACTTGCCATATACACTGAAGAAAAGGGTTGTGAATACACCTATGTCCTTCATAAACCTGTCCTTGATCGTTAAGCTACTGCTGGATATACTCCATGTTTGTCCCAGATTTTGTCACCAGAAATTGTTACTCAGGAAAGTTTATCATGAGAAAGTTGATTTATTTTGGCCCATTGATAGATTTTACACCTCCTTGGGAAATTAAATAGAGGCCAAAACTCCTTCAAGAGTGCCTGGCCCCCATATTTCTGTATTTGCAGTCCAGACTCCAAGGTGTCTACAGATGTGGGGTGGGATTGGACCCTGTGACTTCCAGTCCCTCCTAAGTGAAAAGAGAGGCTTGAGTTTCAGTTTGTTTTGCTGTTCTAAAAGCCCTGGTTTGGGGCCCATATTCACTCAGTCCAGTCACTAGTGATATTGAGGTGAAGACCTAGCTGCTTCTAGAGCAGAAGCCAACAAAGGAAATGTTTGAATGAAGTATTCAATTAAAAAGAAATGATTTGTGTCTGGGAAAAGGTATATTGCTTAGAGACAGTAGCCTAAGTTCCACTCCAGCAAGGCACTTCTGAACAGGCAACAGCACTAGGGCTCAGATGAGCTCTCCTGGAACCCCAGGAGGAAGAGTGTCCTGGGCTTCCAACAGGTGCTAAACATCAGATCTGTGTGCAGTCATTGCTTGTTGGTGTTCAAGCAGAGCTGCTGAGACCCTGGTGATGACAGCCAGGCAAGATGGGAATACAGAGCATCACCTGGAAATCAGTGCCACTGGGGCATTGGAACTTGGTGCTGTAGCTGAATGTCTTACAGATGTCTAGTACTTCTAAATGGAAGCCATTGTTGTATATGCACGGGGTCCCTCCATGAACAGAACAGCCCAGAAGGAGAAAAAGCAAATAACAACAAAAAGCAAAATAAAACCGTGCCTCACTGAATGCTGGCAATGCAGTTGTATAGAGATGAGAGGTACTGGGGGAGCCATATGGACAAGGAGCACAGAGGCAAAGTCTTACAGAAGGGACTTTGTGTCTACTGGGCTAGGGTGAGGAGTAGGGCCAGGTAAATGACATGGGGGTGCTCACTTGGGGCTCTGTGGGCTGTACTGCAGCCCCTGATGGTCTTGGAAATGTTGGCCATGATGATGGAAGGACAGTTAGTTGGACAGTAGAACCTGTGACCTTTTCTTGGAAATAAAGTATGGTACTTTGCTCAGAGAGGAGTTGAACTCACAGGAAGAGCCAGGGAAGGGAGTACCTTGGCTTAGTCTACAGGCCTTGCACAGGATGGGAGGGCAACATGTGCATGTCAGGCCCACTGGAGCTCTGCTGAAAGTGAGTCAGAGAATATCTGAGTTGAACTGTGGATCACGGGGACAAATTAACCTAACCAAAAATAGCCTAAAACAACATTTCTGGGAATTGGAGTTGAAGGCAGCATTCAGTGTAAACAGGGGAGAGGAGGAAGACCAGACAGGCAGACACATTTGGTCTTGGGGTCATCACTTCTTAATCAGGCAGATCACACACAGCCTGGGGACAGCTGCCCCAGCTCTGGGCTGAGTCTACATGGACAGAGGAAGTGCTTCCTGTTGTTGTCACTTACTGAATGAAGTCAGCAGGTGGACAAGCCTTTTTTTGTTTTATTTGTTTTTTTGAGACAGGGTTTCTCTGTCTCAAACTAGCTCTGTAGACCAGGCTGGACTTGAACTCACAGAGATCCACCTACCTCTGCCTTCCAAGTGCTGGGATTAAAGGCATGTGTCACCAATGCCTGACTGACAAGCCTATTCTTTGTGAAGTGGTCCTTTTCTCAACCTGGCTGTCAGCATCTGGCACCACACAAGGATAGGTCCTCACAGCACTCTGGCCTGGATGGGTAGGGGTACCCTAGTAAGGCCTGTTGTCAATACATCCCTTGTAGACTGTGGGTGGGAAGCTGGATTTTGTTAGTGGCTCTCTGGTGATGCGGGATGCTGGTTTCCTGTAACTAGTCAGAACTGTTTTGGCCTCTTCTTGGAACCAAGATGTAGAGTCAGGAGCTGTGTGAGTTAAACACCCAGGATGGGCTACTGGTAGCTGGCGGCCATATACTGACAGATTGTATCTGAGCTGCTGATAAAGTTGTGTGAGGATCTTGTCTCCTGATGAGGGTGTGCCTTGTTCTTAATGATAAACTATTGAATGGTGGAAAAACAAACAAACAAACAAACAAACAAAAACCTGCTAAACTGAAGAAAGCCTGCTGTTCAGTCTAGCTTGGTTTGGAACTCAGGATCCTCTTGTTTTGACTTCCAAATACAGGGATTATAGGCATATGTGAAATACCAGGTTTATAATTTAACATTCTTTTTTTCTTTTTTTTATGATTTAACATTCTTTTATGTCTTTTATAAATATATTTTATTACTACGTGTATATGCATGATGGAGATTCATGTCTCCATGCCACTCTGTGTATGGAAGTCAGAAGATAACCCTATGGAGTCAGTTCTTCTACTTTGTTACTTTGTTTTCAGGGACTGAACTGAGGCTTGTAAGTCAAATGTTTTCATCCACTGAGCCATTTTACCCCACCCTCTTCATTGACCTCCCTCTCTCCTTCCCTCCCTCCCTCCCTGAGACGAATTTCATGAAGCCCAGGTTAGCATTGAACTTGCTGTATAGCCTAGGGAAACCCTGAACGTTTTTTATCCTTCTGGGTGCTAGGATTACAGGTGTGAAGTATCATGTCTGGGGATCAAACCTAGGAATTCATGTGTGCTAGGCAAGTGCTCTACCAACAACTTCAGAACCACATTTAACTTTCTTGATAACTTCTTGGTAGTGTTAGTCTATATAAAGTGAATGAATGGCTAGGATTTGTTTTCTTGAGTTCTTTTAAAGTCCACAGAGACTGGCTGGTGGCACACTGTTTATAGGCGTCTGCTATCTTCTACTGGATACTGGAATGCAGAATAAGCCTTTTGTTGTTGTTGAATCAGGGTCTTTCTGTGTAGTCCTGGCTGGCCTGGAAATCACTATGTAGGCTAGACTGGCCTGAAACTCAAAGAGATCCACCATCTTCTGCCTCCCAAGTACTGACATTAAAAGCATACACCACCATGCCAGCTCAGAGTAAGCTTTCTTGATTGACCTTAGTTTGGCTAGGCCTCTACTGATCACAAACTGTATGGTGGTCTCTGCCTTCATTCAACTGCCTCTGTCTACCTCAGAGCCTCAGGCTCCAAGCCTGGCCTCTGAACAGCCAGTGGGTACCTGCCACCACCAGGCAGGTAACAATGGGAAGCCACAGGCACAAGGCAAGTATTCACTACTGAAGTTAAAGGCTGAACCAAGAGTGGCTGCTAGTTCCTCAACTTCCTGTTCCCATGGTACATACAGCAGGTTGTTCAGTCATGGAACCCACAAGTCTTTTCCCAAATTTTAAAATCTTGGACCTTTCCTATTATTTGAAATCTTAAGATATGACTGAAGTGAAAGCATTGTTTTTTTTTTTTTTTTTTTTTTTTTTTTTTTTTTATAATATGTAGTCTATTTGGGCTGTAATGGTTCCAATACTGATAAGGGGGGAAATGGAGGATACTGTAGTTCACTCCCTTCCCAAGAGCCAGTCAGCTGTCCAGGGCTTGTGGGCTCAGTTTTGTGTGTGTATACAATAAGAACCTTCTCCTTACACCCAGCAAGGGCAGAGGATGGCTGTGTCACAGTCTAGCTGCCGTGTCCCATGACTTATATCAGCAGGTCCCTGTCTCTAGATAATGAAGTTTTCAGTGTCAGGTCTCTTTTTGTATGAAAACTTAATGTGGTGAATCCTTTTGTGTGGCAAAACTTTTCTTGGGGAGATGCAGCACACAGCTACTCACCCTAGATGGAGAATCTAGGATAGTCAAAGTGTGGATTTGGTGAACCAGTGAGTCCTATTGGGGTTACTTACATGAATATGACGAGGGGTTACTTATAGGAGCAGAAATGACTCATATGCCCAAGGTTCACCCCAGCATGGGAGACAACTCACAAATCCAGGACCTTGGAGCATACTGAAACCTGCAGGCAGCTCAGCAGGTTAGAGTGTGCCCATTCTACAGCCTAAGTGGTCTAAACCTCTTCTATACAGCTCAGCTGGTTTCTGCTTCTTCCAGGCAGCTGTTGGGCTGTCCTGGTCTCAGAGTCTTGGCAGCTTTTCTCTGAGAGTTAACTTTGCAGCGCAGCTTCTCTTCCATCATCTTGGCAGCTCAACTCCAGCTGTTCACTACCTTCCATCCGAATGGACTCTCAGCTTTTATTTTCCCTTCGAGGGCATAGTAAATCTGATCAGTTTCAGGGACCTCCGGAAGCTGTCTTGAGTTGTTTATCTTCTTGCTCAAGGAACTTCCCTGCAGGATGTAATGTTTCAATCTTGGAGGTAGGTGTTATACAACAATCCCTTAGAAGTGGAATTGCTGTGGGATTCTTTTATGTGTTCAAATTGTACCTGGTCAGCTGTGCTCTGTTTTTCTGTGGCTTCCAGAGTTCTGTGAAATTTGTTAATAAGAAAGCATTTAATTGCAAAACATAAAAACAGGGTTTTGTCTCAGATGAAGACATACGATGTATGCCACCCTGACTAAGACTGCTGTTCTGTCTGATGACCTAACCTAGACAGAAGCACGGGACTGTTTGTGGGTTTGGGGAGTATTGTGGATAGTGGTGTTTCATCTTTCTCTGGAAGAACATTGCTTTATGGTAGGAAAACTCAAAGCCACATTTGTGTGTATAACTTTCAACAAGAGGCAGTTGTGCAGAAAAAAGTAAGAGGGTAATATTCTGTCTCCTCAGATGGCGCCCAGAACTGAGACCCCTGTGAGCAGCATCAGCAACAGTCTGGAGAATGCATTGCACACATCAGCACATTCCACGGAGGAGTCCCTGCCCAAGAGGCCTTTGGGAAAACACGGCAAAGGTGGGTAGTTAGCTGGACATTAGTGGGAGATCCCAGGTTCAGGGAGAAGGCATTCACAGTACAGAACTGTGGACTGTTGGGACATAGTGTCATTAGTGAAAGGGAAAGTACCACTGCAGAACCCCCAAGACCAAGTTCTTTCAGCACAAAGGATATGTACTTGCCCCAGAGGGACAGAGGGCAGGGAATAAGAGACAAAGATGGGAAACAGAGGATGAGAGAGAAGAGGAAGATAGGGAAAGGGGGGAGGGGTTTTTGTCCTGGGGACAAACACTGCCTCTGGATAGAGAGGAGACAGACATGGCCCATAGGAAAATGGCAGTTTATAAAGGTACAAAGGGGAAACCATGTTAGAGTGAGGTGTTTAATTATAATTGGGCATGTTAATTAGGTGAACCAAAGGGGCTTTTGCTTGCTGGACTTTAACATTTTTATAGCTGGACTTTGGTAGTTGCTTTAGGAGGAGGAAGAGGCCAAATAAGGGAATAGACCTTGGTTGCTAGCTTTAGGGATGTAATCTAATGGTTTTTCAGCAAGACAGAGGGAATCGGAGAGAAAAGCAAGGCCTGCCATGCTTGAGCTGACCAGAGTCCTTTCAATCAGGCATGCTTAGAGGGGCTGTTGTCTTTGTAATTCTCCTGAGGAACTCACGACCACATTTCAGCAATATCAACTTAAAATGTTGGTGTTTATTAAGAAAAAGAAAGTTTATAAGAAAAAGAAAGTTTTAAATATCCTCTGCTCCTCACATCAGAACAAAGCCTAGATTCCAAAGCAGCTGGGCCATAGAACATTTCTTTCCCAACTAAATGGGCTCCTGAGACTTATTTCATGTGATGTGGTAACAAGTACTCCTGTCTTCACTCACTCAGTGCTATCAGCCTCAGTGAAGTTCCACACTGCTCTGCCACTGAAAAGTGCATTTATTTATTTATATTTTATATATGAGTGTCCTGCGTGTATACCTGCATGCCAGAAGAGGGTATTAGATATTAATGTATTGGTTTGTGAGGCACCAGCCTGGGAATAGAACTCAGGACATCTGAAAGAGCAGCCAGTGCTCATAACCACTGAGCCATCTTACCAGTCCCCTACCCCACCCTCTTTTTGAGATAGGGTTTCTCTGTAACTTTGGAGCCTGTCCTAGAACTCGCTTTGTAGGCCAGGCTGGCCTTGAACTCACAGAGATTCACCTGCCTCTGCCTCCCAAGTGCTGGAATTAAAAGGTGTGCACCACCACCGCTTGGTATAAGCAGTTTTTAAAAATATAATTGGAATGTGGGTTTGCTCAGTGTCGATCTTCAGTTGATGAAACCTCTCACCACAGGCTGTGGGCCTCCTGGCTTTCTTCTAAACTGACTCTGGAAGCACTTGGGCAGGCATATAGTGATTGCTTTAAATTAGAATAGGTTATTGGTGGGACCAAATCTTAGCAGAATTAGGCAGGGACATCTGTCCTGACTGGTCATATACCTTGAGGCTCCTGGGACAATGCCCATCCCTACTCATGAGTTGCTCTGCTTCACTGCTCACAGATGTGTCTGTGCCTTCTGTAACTTGAGCTGGTCCTTCTGCCCTTCTCTCTCTTGTGTCCCAAGCATCAGCTTTTTATCTCATAGGTATATTCTGTGCTGTTGCTTTAAAGACCTATGCTCACTCTACATGGAGTGCTGTCTGCTCTGCTTCTGTGCCACATCTTTGTCTTGAGACCATGTCACACTGCAGAGCAGGGATGACAGCAACCTCAGGAAGCCTTTTCTCCCACCTGGCCTTAGTTGCAAACTCACAGTGCACATGATGCAGGTTGTTCCTAAGAGACTATGTCCCTCTGTTGACTGTTTGTCCCCAGAGTGGAGTTGGTCCCTGGAGTGCAGGGCTGTCTGCTGGAGAGAGCAGAGCCTCTTGTGAGTGCTGATTCCTTTGTGTAGCACCCTCCAGACCAAGCAGGGCATCTGTCGTGTACCACAGTGCTTTTTCTTCAGATATAACCAAGACTCTGGGTTGTAGAGTATAATCCCTCCCTTCTTCCCTCCTTCCTTCATTCCTTCCTGATTTATATTTTATGTGTATGGGTGTCTGTGCCGTGTCTGTGTAGTGTCTGTAGAAGAGGGCATTAGTTCCCTGGGACTGGAGTTACAGACAACTGTGAGCATGGATGCTAGGATCTGAACCCAGGTCTTTTAGAACAGCAGCCAGTGCACTAACCACTGAGAAAACTCTATAGCCTCTGGGTATAATTTTAAAAAGGTGGCTGTTGTCTGCTGTTCTCTGTATGCTTTAGTGCTGAGGAGAATGAATGCTAAGCAGCTGTGATGGAGCATACTGGAGAGACTGTCCTGAAAGACCATGCTGCCCACTTTTAGCCAGCCCACCATCCTATCACTCATCACTAACCAACACCAGGAGTTTCTTCTGTCCAGCATAGGCAAGCAAACTAGCTGAGTTTTTGGTACTTTTCTCATGGTCCCTTCCCTTGTGCTGGACAGTGGTCTGTGGTCACTATAGTCTGAAGTTTATCCAGTTTTCTATGTTGTCTTAGAAGTCTTATAACAGAATGATGGAACTTATGGAATGATCAGGCTTTGGTCAGTATTCCTAAAGCATCTTGTATTCCCACTCTCTCACAGTGCTCCCAGTAACCCTGGGAGCATAGAACAGAAACCCTTATTCCCAGGAGAAACACACCCTACTTTGCTGATGAGATTTAAGTCAAAAGTGAGCTCCCAAGGTACAAACCTGTGCTGTGGGAAGGAGAGTGAAGGTGTCAGTGCCTGAGTGCACTTTCTCAGAACTGTTTACCTTCCTATGTAGAAGCAGAGATGTTGTTTTGGTGTGGGAAGTCCATAGGACCAGTGAATGGTTGTCCTCCCTCCCTTCCTGTCATGGTTGGGGACCTTGTACAAAAGATAACTCATCCCAGGTCCCAGTTCCTATCCCAGATGTTACTGATGCCAAAGGGTTAAGAGGTGTAAGAGGAGTTATCCCCAGTGAAGCTCTAGTGCGGGAGGTTCTGTCCCTTCACAACTAGAACTGGAATCTGTCTCTGGCAAGACAGTGAAAGAGGACTGATTCTGTTACCTTGATTAAGCTGCAGATCTGAAATATTTCTGCACTCTTAAAAATGATGGACTTGGGCTAGAGAGATGGCTCAGCCATTAAAGGCTAGGCTCACAACCCAAAGTGATAGACTTGAAGGAATTTATGTTTACAAAGTGTATCATGTCTGTGGCAACTTTACACCATCAGACAGAGAGGAGTATATTTCAGCCTGAGTAGTGTTTTGGTCCTGCACCACTGAGGCTTATGGCTTTGTTACACAATATTATCATGATGAAGAGCAGCTTAAAGACTGAACCTGGAGCTGTGCAGTGATGTACACCTTTAATACCAGCACTCTAGAGGCAGAGACAGGCAGATGGATCTCTGAATTTTGAGGCCAGCCTTGGTCTATGGAGTGAGTTCTAGGGCAGGGTCCAAAGCTACAGAGAACCCTGTCTCAAAAACAAAGCAAACAAACAAACAAAGACTGAAGCTCAAAACTTCAAAAGTTTTGGGCTTTTCTTTTCCTTTGTTGTTGTTTTGTTTTCCAAGACAGGGTTTCTCTGTGTAGCTTTGGCTGTCCTGGAATTCTCTCATTGTAGACCATGCTGGCCTTGAACTCAGGGATATCCATCTGACTCTGCCTTCCCAAGTGCTGGGATTAAAGACATGTGCCACCACGCCCAACTTCATGGGATTTTAATAAAAAAAAAGAAAAAAAAAGAAAAAGAAAAAGAAACTCAAAATATAAGCATGAATTTTAACAAGACAGGAATTGAAGATAAAAACTAACTCCTGAAACCCTATCTGTGTGTTACCTCTCCTGAGATGCACTGGGATCACTGTGTGACAGGGGTAAGAAGCCTTAGTGTATGGGACATTCCTGGTGTGCATTTGGTTCTTACCTTGAGGACAGACAGAAGAGTTCACAGTTTTGCAGTGAGTGCCTAGATTACATAGTTTTATTTTACTGTATTTACTACTGTACTTTTTTGGTTTTTAATTTATCGTTGTTGCTACTATTTTGCAGTGCTGGAAACCAACCCAAAGGCCTAGCACGTGTTTCATATTAGATCAGTGCTGTCCGCATTTCTAAGCAGGCTGCTGACAGGCTTCCTCAGCAGTTCTTTGAACCACAGGACATAAAAAAACAAAAAACAAAACAACAACAACAAAACTATCCAAGTGACTGCTTTCTCAGTTTCCCTAAAGAAAATGAGGCTGGGGATTTGGAATTGAGAGACATTCCTCTCACAGAGTTTTTGTAGGTAGTGGGTGAGACAGAGGAAGTGTAATATGTGCCTTTCACTTTTCAGACTCTACTTTTTGCTAATATCTCATCACTTTAGATAAAAATGTAAGAACCTGGACAACAGAGATGGCTCAGCAGCCTAAAGCACAGGCTGCTATTTAGGAGGACCTAGGTTTGATTCCAAATGATGACTCAAAACCATCCTAATTCCAATTCCAGGGAACCCATTGCTCTCTTCTGATCTCTGTGAGCATCAGACACACATGTGATACACATGGATATATGCAGACAAAACATTTCATGCACATAAAATTAAGTAAATTTTAAAAAGCAAAAATCTAAGACTCTTGGAACTGTGTGTGTATACACTGACTCTTGGGAGACAATGCTGAACTTTCAGATGTCTCTTGGTACTAGTGTTTACACCTCTGGAAGTGGCAGGTACTGTGGATGAGGATACTTAGTGTTGACCTGGTTCTCCATGTGCTCTGTGTAAAGGTGCCACATGTATCGTATCACAATTTACGTGTTGTGTGTCTTGTGCCCCCATGATAGGACCTTAGGATTCTTGCATATATTTTGAAAGGGGGAAAGGATAGTCTTTGAATGCTCTGTGTATTTACCCCTTGGCTGCCCTTTTTCTTCCCAAAAGCTGGTGCTCCCAGTTGAATTTGCACAGCTCCGTGAATGTGGACTCTGCCTGTTTTCA